AGTAACTCACACAGAGAAATTACAACTCACAGGCTCTATATAGGCATACCTGAAACACCGTCATCAGGGAAGTGGGGACACTACTGCACAGGTCAGATTAAATTCGGTCCTTCCATTTGGAGGCTCCAGTTTAGGATTAATAACGTTGATGGTCTCCTTAAATCAGCAAGCGAGCGTATTTGGGTTCGCAGTTTGTATCTAATCTAATGTCATTGTCAGCATCTACGCATCCACCGTACAAAATCGAGGATTCGAGCGGAGTTGCTTGCTGCCTTCCTATGCGGTCGTGCGGATGATCGCTATGCCAACTACCAGACCAACGTACCGGGCCAATAGTGCGATCGGCCTCCCCCTGCGTCAGCCTCATGTCATGCTGACGATGCCGCGCCCAGGCGTCGTGCGGTTTCCCCTTCCGGTTAAAGATGGCAACGGCCCCGATACCTGTACCCGACGGCTATTTGATTCATTAGGGGACGGGGATATGATCATATCTTTATCCGTGGGCATCTAAATGGGTAAGAATCCATACTCGATGGGTATAGCGGGTACGGGAACGTTCCCTGTTTACCCGTCCCCGTTACCCGTTGGGGAACCCGACTATTTGAGTTGTCATGCGAGTATTAGGCCCAATGAAGCTCAACATAGGTATTTTGACCCAAATCTGAACAATTATATATATAGTTTGTGTGTTCTAAGAACCCTAGTTTAATTTTTCCTCACCATCTCCACCAGCAGCACAAGCACGCCTACCTTACGAGCGCTCGTGCCCCTCGCTTCCTCAGTTCGGTCTCTCTGCCACCTTTGCTCGTCCTCCTCGCAACCTCGCTCTTTCTCCTCGGCATCTCCGAGACTCCGACACTTATACCCGGGTGAAGAAGAAATGTCTCCGATGGCAAAGCTGCGACCCCAAGTGTCCTTATTTATCGGGTATGTAGTACCCGTCGGATATCTGTTACCCGACTGATACCCGACGGGTATGGGGATGGGCAATAATCTATACCCGAGACAGTTAACGGGAACGGAGACAGAATAAATTCTTTATAGCGGGGAAGAGAACGTTCCTGCGATACTCAGACGGGTACATCCCCGTTGCCATCCTTACTTCCGGTCCTCCCTGTCACCCTATGCGCGAGCGCGACGTTGACAGCACGCGGATTGCCCGGGAGCAGGAGGAGGACCCCACGATACGACGCGGACGGATTAAGCACCTCTCTAACAATTCAGTAATAAATAAACTACTAGTTAGCTTATACTTAGCCACGTCATCTAAAAGATATACGGTCTGATGGATAGCTTATATTAATCTTAAGTTCTTAACCTACATTAAATCATATATATGCTGCACATTCATGCCAGTGTAAACATAAACAATGCAACAAGGCTGATAGAGAAAGGATGGTCACATGTGTGTGGAGGGGCCCTAGAGCAGCCTCATTGTTTGTTTGAGCTAGCGTGGGACGGTGGGAGTAAGAGAGAGCTTTTCTCTCTCCTCTATATAGGAAAAACGTTGAGGTGAATATTTATGAGCTAGCTATTATGGAACTATTGGAGGTAACTTTAGCTTAGGCCAGTTTTGATTCATAAGAAAAAATGGAAAAAAACACATGATTGATTGTCCCAGAGGGATTACACTATTGTCTATGCATTTGGTTCATATGAATGGAGCATAGGATTAGTATAGCAAATTTCTCTTTGCCTGCTATTTTGGAGAAAAATATTTTATAAATTTTGCATATGTTCAAATCTCTCGGTAAAATTATTATGTTTTCTAATGTCTTCTATTCCTCTGTTTTACAAGTATATTTTTGTAGAATTTTTAGGTTTTTCTATTCCCATGCTTTTGCATTCCTATATGTTGCAATGGTCTTAAGCAGATGGTTAGTGTTTGCTTTACGACGTTGACGAGGTCGTTTTCACATTAGTAAACCGTGAAAAAGCATACTCCCTCCGTCCAAATTTAAATGCTCGTTTGCACTTCAAAATTTATCCCAAAATAATCGGTTCTCATAGGCCTGAAAGAGCGTAGAGTAGCCCAGAATCTTGGAAAGTTCAGACAGAGCAGTGCAGCACTAGAGGCCTGTTTGGAACGTAGGAATACAAAACAAAGGAATGAAAAAAAAACACATGAATAGAATATAGCAAAAGTAGAAAACTACATGATTTGAAAACACAGGAATAGGAACTTTGGGGTGTTTGGATCACAGGAAAACAAAAATGCCATATGTGCCCAAAAAGCAAGTTCCATGCTTGAGAACTTGACAAAACATTGTAGGAATTTTTCCTTTAGATTTCCTTGGATGTTTTTTTCCCTACGTTTTGTGAACCACGGTTAGTCTTTCCTTTGGAAAGGAATGCAGGTTTGCTTTGTTCCAAACAGCAAGTTGAGAAAACCTTCCTATGAAATTCATTCCTTTGATTTTCCTTTAGAAATCCTCCATTCCAAACAAGCCCCGGTAGTATTTTATTTCCTCTAGGGAACGAGTGGCCACGGACGGACAGGGTTGCGGCGTGGAACTCGCCCTGACCACACATTTGCTGGGCTTGACAATATGCGCTGTTACTCTGACGCCGTACAGCAATGTAGCATAGGGGTAGAAAGGTAATTTGCCACCTCTACTAAGTTGCTGTGTTTGAACCTAGACGTGTAGTTATTGTGGGACGAAGGAAGTATGTTATGTTGGTCGGGTCGTGCCATCTACTAAAGATTTGTCAATTTGGCAAACAACAATTCAGATTTGGTTGCGCTGACCAAGCATTAGTACAAATTCAGTTTTTCTTTTCGAATTTCAGCAGACTTCTGTAACTTGCGTCAACGAGAACAGTTTCTTGGTTTGATTGAAGTTTGAAAAGGGAGTCATCCTACCTACCATGGGCACGGGCTCGTTTCTCTTTGTTGTCTCGCTTTTACCTTTATCAGTTGACTTGTCAAGGGTTTCTGTCACACGGCCCAATCTGAACATGTGCGCTTGGTTTTTTACTGTCCTGGAAGTCGTCCCATCCTCTCTCGCTGTTCATACTACTTTGATTGATTCGGGGGCGTGTTTAGATGTAAAATTTTTTAGGTTTTGTTTACTGTAGCATTTTCGTTTGTATTTAGTAATTAGTGTTTAATTATTGACTAATTAGGTTCGAAAGTTTCGTCTCACGATTTCTCACCTAACTGTGTAATTAGTTTTTTTTTGTCTACATTTAGTACTCCATGCATGTACCGCAAGATTCGATGTGATGAATACTACACAAAAAATTTTGACAACTAAACATGCCCTCGATCTTTTTACCTTTTTGTCCCATTCAAACTAGTGCACTAGCTCTACTTCCTTTTTTTTTCTTATAATAACAACTACTAGCACCGCTAACACTAGACCAGTGCCATACTTTTGCACAATTGACCCCCAAAAAAAAACGTATATGCTCCGATCCAAGGTGTCTGGATCAAGTCTTCGGTAGTTACATTACGTACACTATGACACATGACACTTCCGTTAAAGTGCCATTGTTATGCTTTAATACATAAGATCAGTAGTTGTCACGAAGAAAGCACTAAAGATTGGAGCAATTCTTTGGATCAAAGAGAACAAAGAGAAATCGGGGGCATGGATTGGACTCTCCAAATAAACATAAGAGATCATATGTTTTCATTTATGGGTGTTTTATTATTCATGCCAGAGAAGCCTTAATAAAATAAAATAAATTTTGAATAAATGTTTCAAGCAATAGTAATTTTATGTTTGGTAGAGTTTTGACTCCAGCTTCAACCTCTCAAGTCACTATAGGTGTAATAAGGAACTATTTTTATCTCGCTTCTCAAAATAAACGATTCACCAGATTCAACTCCTTTCACGCACTGCGAAAATGGTTCGGAGCCGGATAAAGCCGTGCTAAATTACTATAGCGCATGAATAAATGCATACTACTATGGGTGTAGGCTTGTTTATCTGTGTGTTACTCCCGTGTTTCTTGTAAAACATGTAGCCTTGGTTTCACTTATACTCCCAACGTCCAAAAAAAAATACAATTTTCACTTTCTAGAGAGTCAAACAAAACTAAATTTGATCAAACCTTAAAAAATATAAATGTTTATGACACCAAATAAATATGATTAGGTTGATTATGAGATATATTTTCATAGTAAATTTAACTGGAGACATAAATGTTAATATTTTTTAAAAAAACTTGATCAAACTTAGAAAAATTTGACTTACCTAAAACATAGAATTATAGTTTTTAGACGGAGGAGTACTGCAAGTCCTCTCTATCTTGGTTTCATATTTGATTCGATGATTTTCTTTTGTCCTCTTCAAATTAATATTAGTAGTGCGAAGTGAGCGTAGATCAGTTGGTTGCACTTTTTTTAGTAGAACCTATCCACTCGAGTTTAAGTATAGGATTTAACAATGCTGTTCTTTTGTGGTAGGCGACGGGCCTATCGAGAACGAGTGTAGTACTATGTAGTTCAAAAAAACAATATCAATAGTACTATAATTTCTTTTCAATAACACTACTAAAAAACAATATTAGTATCATTGTGTTAGCCCCCTAAATGAGCTTAAATAAAAAGTTGTGAGCTACCAAGATTTAGATCTTAATTTGATATAAATTTTGTCTCCATTTGACTTCATTTGAAAAGTTACAAATTCATTTATTTGATAGATGTTTTCAAGATGTTGCCGCTGCAGCCATGTTAAGGTTGGAAGAAGACAGGAGCGAGAGAACCTTGTACAGTTGAGCGAGCTCACCGGCAAAGAGACTTTTACCATCTAATAACCTCATCCAAGCAATTAGGAGGGGACAACAATATTCAGCAGCAATTAGGAGGGGACAAAGGGCTTGTATCTAGTGTTTGCAGCAAGGATTTAGGCAACAAGGGAGGGCAGCCAGCACCTCATGTTTTGCAGGGTTCCTCCTCGGCTTCTGGGGCAACGGTTGTACAGGCTGAGAATTCGGAGATTGTGAAGGCCAACATTGATACTATGGAAGTGCATAGGACAGCCACCACCAAAATGTGCAGGCGGTGTGGAATCAAGGGACACCTGATGTTTGAATGCACAAAGACTGTCTTCTGTGAAATTTGTAAGAGTACCGATCACGCTATGAGTCGGTGCTCGGTTCTCAAGCAGCCCAAGCCGGTAGCACAATTGGTTGGTCAGGCCGCTGATGCTCTTGCAAGTTTTCATATTCCACACGCTCCCATTCAGCCAACGAAGAAAGATTCTAGATTGGCTCTAGTCTCTACTATAGGGAAGAATCTGATGGAGGAGGAACTTGCTGCATATTTGAGGATGTTGGTGTCTGATACTTTTACTTGGGAAGTAAAACGACACAATGACTATGAATTCAAAGTCCTATTCCCTACGAAAGCTGATCTCATGAAGATGACAAGATTCAATGCAGAAATGAAGGAAGGGGTGACTCTCAAGTTCGAAGAATTTAAGGAAGATGAGGAGTATTTTGGGCATGCTTTACCAGTGGTGTGGATGCAGGTAATGAATTTACCAACGATTCTAAGAGAATATGTCATTCTGTGGGCAATAGGAACTCTTTTTGGTGTCACCCAAGAAGTGGATATGGTCACCACGAGGGCTAGTAATTTCGGGCGGTTTGCAGTGGCGGTGCTGGAACCTGATGCTATTCCGACAAAGCTAGATGTCATCATTGGTAATAGGTATTTTCAGCTGACTTTTGCGGTTGAGCCATTTTTACCAAATATCGGGTTGCGGAGCAAATGGAACACACAAAATGAGGGGAATGAAGATCATGGAAATGGTGCACGGAAGGACACTGAGAAGAAAGAGGTAGAAATTAACGGGAGCACTATTTTACCAGATGCAAGTGCTGGGAACAAAGAAACTAGTCACAAGGCCGGAGATGAAGCCCCTGAAGCGCAGATGGACATGGACTTTCAAATGACGATTTGCTAGGAGAGGAAAATGAACTAGGTGATGCAGCTTATGCTTTTGTTGGAGTTCAAAAAGGAAATTCGGTGAACGTGAGGAACGCAGCAAGTCTTGAAGCTTCAGCGCTGGCTCGTTTCTCTTCATAGCATACTAGGCTAGGTGGAAAGCTGGTGAAAGGTCCTTGTTGGTTTTGGTAATTGAGTGACAACTGAGGTGGACTAATTGTGTTTATGTGAGATACACAGGTGATTAGTCCATAGGTACATGTGTATGAGCAACATATGCCATGGAGGTGAAAATGGCTTGGAGATGTTGCAAAGCTCACACATGTGATGATGAAGGAGCTTATTGCACATGAGACATGACATTGAGTCATGTGATCAAGGTGGAGAAGATCAAGACAAGACTTGGCTTGATGGACCGGTTGCAAGCGTGAAGGGCAAGTCAAAGGCTTTGGAGTGATGGACCGCGTGGCGGTGAAGCTTGAGCAAGACTTGGCGCCGATGGACGATAGCAACGGTGAAGAGCAAGTAGAGTCAAGATCGATGAACCAATATGATCATGTGATGATATGAAGTGGATCATATCATTGTTGATCGTGTTGGTGCATGTGTTGCATCGACATTGAAGGAGATGGAATGGAATGCGCAAGGCAAAGGCATAACCTAGGACATTTCATTTCACCGGTCATAGGTGTGTAGAGAAGTTTATGACCGGGTTTAGGATAGATGGTCGTACTATCAAGAGGGGCAAACTTGTTTGCATATCGGTCATCTAGTGCCACTCGAGTGATCTAACTTTGCATTGCCGTTAGGATCGAGTGGCGTGGCAAGTTGAGTGGCTAACATCCTTTGGGAAATGATTGTGAAAATGCTAACACACATACACATGGTGGTGTACACTTGGTGGTGTTGGCATATTTACAAAGGAGGTGGTGTTTGCAGGGGTGAGATGGGTTTGGGTCCCTCTCTCCCTCCCGCCTCGCAAGCTCGGCGGGATTCAGCGCTTTCGAGAAAATAGAATGCCTATTTTCTATTGCGCCGGATGCAAGTTCTTGTGGTTAGCACCTTGGAGCAAGGGTGATGAAGTTAGAAGTGAAAACGAGTTAGTCGCGAAGATGCTGGCGTCGGTCAACTGACCGAACGCTGGATCTGAATCACCGGACAGAATGGCGCGTCCGTCAGTCGACATACTTATCTGACGCAGAAGTTGAAGTGTGACCGAACGTTTCGCGTCCGATCAAGTGTGACCGGACGCGTCCGGTCGAGGTTGGTACCTTCTTTGAAACGACCGAGAAAGCGTCCGGCCGATTGATATCTGCTGCGTCCGGTCAAGTCAAGTGACCGTTGGGAACCGGGACACGTGGCCGCTCAGGCGATCGGACGGAGAGTCCAGCGTCCGGTCAACACGACCGGAGCGTTTGATCGGCCCGACCGTTGCCCGATGAAGTGGTAAGCGGCTAGTTTAGCCCTTGGGGCTATAAATAGAAGTGGCCCTCGGCCATGGTGAAATTGAACACCTCAAGGGACTTAGTGTCCATGCTTGTGAGTGCTTGGGAGCCCTCCATCACACATATACTTGATAGTGATCATTCGATTGTGTGAGTGAGCGATTCTAGTGCGATTGCATCATGAGGTTGCATCGAGTGGCACTAGATGGTCGTGTTGCAAGCCGGTGGTGCTTGTTACTCTTGGAGGTTGCCACCTCCTAGACGGCTTGGTGGTGGTCTCCGTGAAGCCCGCAAGAAGCTTGTGCGGCGCTTTCCGGAGAAGTGCTTATGAGGGTACTTGTGCTTTCGCCCAGCTGGAGTCATGAAGAGCAACTTTAGTAAAGCGTGTCATTGAGCTACCCTCACTCAAGGGGTAGGTTCTTGCGGCGCCCGACGTGCGGGCTTAGCGGGTGATGCTAATTAGCCGCCGAACCACCAAGTTTGGTCGACATTAACGGGACTAGCGTGTTGACAAACACGTGAACCTCGGGAGAAAAATCATCGTGTCAACCTTGTTCTTCCTGTTGGTTTGCATCCCCATTACACAAGCTTGCAATTACTTTTATATATCTTAAGCTTGTGTAGTTGCTTTTGTAATTAGTTAGCTTGTGTAGCTTACTAGTTACCTTCTTACTTGTGTAGCATAGAAGTAGCTCCTCATTGGCTAATTTGGTTTTAGTAACCTTGTTAGTCACATTGCTTAGTTTGTGTAGCTAAGTATTTGCGCTCTCTAATTAGGCATTGGTTGCCTTGTTATTGAGCTTTGCTAGTGAGCTTAGTTGGCTTTGTGCTTTTGCTTACTAGCATGTGTAGGAGCTCCCTTGTTGCTTAAAGTACTAGTGGTATAGGTTTGTGTGACCTTGCTCCTAGAATTGTTTAGGAGAGCTCTAGCTAGCCCGGCACCTTAGTTGCATAATTAGTATCTTGGCAATGTGCTAGTGAGCATATATAGAGGGGTGTAGTCTTGGCTAGACCGATTGTTTTAATTTCGTATTTATATCGGTTAGCCGACGCGATTAATTTTAGAAAAGACTATTCACCCCCCCTCTAGTCCGCCATCTCGACCCTTTCAGCTGGCGACCTCTGGATGGGCGGCTCAGAAGGTGACCTCGGCAAGAGATGGCTCCACGGGACCGAATCAGCCACCCAAAGAGATATCGTCGGGGACTGAACCTACTGTTAAAGGGCTGGAACTACAGACGTCAGTGGCCGATTCAAAGAAAGGAAAGCCGACCATGTCGGCTAGTGGGGCTGCAGCTCGAGAGTTGCAGAAATTGACACCATTGAGGCAGCCGGCTAGTTTGTTTGATGAGGAACTTACGGAGATCTCAGTTGGGCATTTTGCTGGGGCAACAAAGGGAGCGATTGCTGATGGTGCACAACACCTTGGTCACCTTCTTGATGCCATGATCAAAGAGGGAGTGGCAGCAGATGGCAGGTCAAAAAATGAGTTGGGGAGTGTCATGAAGATGGCAGTGTTGTCAGATGGAGAGCTCACTCCAGTGCGGCGTAGCAAGCGGAATGCAGACTTGGCTGATGTAGATTCTCTCGAAAGAGCAGAGAGAAGGGTTGCACTCAAGAACCTCGAGGAACCCCAAGGTACTTTAGATGTTCATTCAATTTGTTCTTTTTTCTAATGTTCGTATTGAGGAAAACCTAGGGGGAGTGGGTATTAGTTTGGGCAACAAAGATAATTTAATCTGTGGGTCTGTTTCTTTAATCAAAGATGTTGAAAGAGAAAGATTGAAGGTGCCTAAGTGTTTTAACAATTTTGAGAATGGCATCGATTTTTTGGAGGATGAGATCGATCTCGACACCTCCGCTATTAGTCGACTCTGTGGTGACTTAACGGAGGAGGTGATGGACGATAATAGTGTGGACCTTGAAGGAGTACTTGTAAATGTACCCATCAAGGTGGCAAAGAGTAAAAAGAAAATGAAACTCCTCACTAAGAAACCAGTTATGAGAAAAAAAACCAAAATTTTGTTTTAATGAAAGGAGTTTTCTAGAATTGTAGAGGTCTACACGACCTAGCTAAACATATGTTTTTGCATGATGTGGCGGTAGATTATAAACTTGACTTTATAGCTCTATCAGAAAACCAACAAAAATAGTTTCTCGACTCAGTGTCTAGAAAATTTTTGTGCGGGGGCTGATTTTGTTTGGCATTGGCGGTGTCCTCGGGGTATGTCCGGGGGGAATGCTAATGGGGATAAATCAAGATTGTTTTGAAGTAGAAAACATTGAGGACGGTGATTTCCATATCAAGTTTGTATTAAAAAATAAACAAGATGGTTTCAGATGGGCCCTCTTGTTTGTTTATGGTGCAGCACAAGAGGAATACAAAGAGCATTTTCTATCAGAGTTAGTACGAGCATGTTCTAACTGTGGGAATCTACCTTTCTTAGTAGGGGCTGATTTCAATATCATCAGAAACCCATCAGAGAAAAACAAAGATATAACAATAGGTGGCCAATGTTGTTTAATGCTATTATTGAATCTCTGAATTTGAGAGAGCTGGTGTTGACGGGTAGGAAATTTACTTGGGCGAATATGCAGAGGTTTCAACTTATGAAAAGTTGGACCGTATCTTGGTAACAACAGAGTAGGAGCAAAAATTCCCACTAGCCTCCATCCAAGCACTTACCCGAGAGATCTCAGATCACACACCTCTTTTACTAGATGGTGGGGAACCATCGCACCGTGGCAACGCTAGGAATTTTAAATTCAAGCTAGTGTGGCTAATAAGGGATGTTTTTTTGAACTAGTTCAAGAGGTTTGGGAATCTGAGAATAGGGGCCGGTCACCCTTGAATCAGTGGCAAAACAAAATTAGAAGACTGTGACATTTTCTTAGAGGATGGGCTACAAATTTGGTGTCACAAAATAGGAACAAAAAAACTAATTTGTTAGATAAGATAGATGTCTTGGAGAAAAAGGCAGAGACATCTGTGTTGTCACCTCAAGAGATGGAACTTAGACATCATCTCAAAGGGCAATTAACTAAGTTGCTGAGAGAGAAGGAGATTTACTGGCTCCAACGATCAAAAGCAACAAAGTTATTGTAAGGAGATGATAATACTAAGTATTTTCATTTGGTGGTAAATGGCAGACATAGGAAAACAAAAAATTGATAGCTAGAATAGGAAGAAGAAACTATTGTTGGTGATGTGAACTTGAAAAATTATATAACCGAATACTATAAAGGACTGTTGGGACCGCATATACTGAATTCTTTCTCATTGGACGAGACGTTGAGGTGCGACATACCTCAAGTGTCAGAGGAGGAGAATGACATATTGACGGCTCCATTCAGCGAGGAGGAGATTAAAATGGCAGTTTTCGATACGGAACATAACAAGGCTCCTGGTCTAGATAGTTTTCTTGTAGAATTTTGCTAGTTCTTTTGGGAGGTTATAAAGCCGGATTTAATGAGCTTTTTTCATGAATTCCATGCTGGGAGGCTGCCTATTCATAGTCTTAATTTTGGGGTAATCTCTTTGCTACCAAATATCACTGAGGGGACCCAGATACAACAATATAGACCCATTTGTTTATTAAATATGAGCTTTAAGATATTCACGAAGGTGCTAAACAATAGAATTTTGAAAGTGGCAGATAAGCTCATAGGTCCTTCACAAACAACCTTTATTCTGGGCTGTTATATTATGGAGGGAGTTGTGATCTTGCATGAAACAATTCATGAATTGCATAGGAAAAGACAAGATGAAGTTATCTTAAAACTAGACTCCGAGAAAGCTTATGACAAATTAAAGTGGCCTTTTGTGCAATAGGTTCTCAGAATGAAAGGATTCTCACCTACTTGGTGTGAATGGATTTCAAAAGTCATGTCTAGAGGGAGTGTTGCAGTAAAGGTCAATGATGATATAGGACATTTTTTTCAAACTAGAAAAGGAGTGCGGCAGGGGATCCGTTATCTCCAATCCTGTTTAATATAGTAGTTGATATGCTGGTTGTTCTTATTTCACGAGCTAAAGAGGCTGGACAAATCCATGGGGTTGTTCCACACTTGACAGATGAGGGACTTTTGGTCCTTCAGTATGCGGATGACACTGTCATTTTTATGGATGATGATATAGAAAGGGCCAAAGATATGAAGCTTTTACTTTGTGCTTTTGAGCAGTTGTCTAGACTCAAGATCAATTTCCATAAAAACGAAATATTTCGCTACGGAACAGCCAAAGACAAACAAAATGAGTATGCACTCATTTTTGGGTGTGATATGGGATCGTTCTCTTTTAGATATTTAGGAATTCCTATGCATCATAGAAAACTCATGAATAAGGATTGAAAATATGTTGAACAAAGATTTCAAAAAAGGCTAAATTGTTGGAGAAGTAAGATGTTGTCGGTAGGAGGGAGGCTCGTTTTGATTAACTCTGTTCTGAGTAGCCTCCCCATGTCCATGTTCTCTTTTTTTAGGTACCTAAAGGGGTTCTGAAAAGGTTGGATTACTTTAGATCACGGTTCTTCTGGCAGAGTGATGACCACAAGAAGAAATATCGATTGACTAAATGGGAGGTAGTTTATACACCGAAAGACCAAGGAGGATTGGGAGTCTTAAATTTAGATGTCCACAATAAGTGTCTTCTAAGCAAATGGCTCTTTAAATTGTTAAATGGAGATGGGGTTTGGCAACAGTTGCTTAGGAATAAATATCTAAGGGATAAAACCTTGACACAGGTTCAATACATGCATGGAGACTCTCAGTTTTGGTCTGGCCTTATGAAGGTCAAGGGAGAGTTTCTCTCGCTGGGCAAGTTTGATCTAGGTGATGGGTCTCAAGGACGATTTTAGGAGGACTCGTGGATGAGATCGCGTCCACTAAAATCTCTCTTTCCTGCGCTTTACCATATTGTTAGAAAAAAAAGTGCATTTGTTAGAACGGTGCTATCCACGGTACCGTTTAATGTAGCCTTCAGAAGATCTCTGGTAGGTGTTAATTTACAAGCATGGCAGGACGTGGTCTCCATGGTTGTGAATGTACAGTTAACAAACCAAAGGGGTCGTTTTGTGTGGGGGCTACATCAGAATGGATTATTTTCAGTGAAATCCATGTACAGAGCCTTATTAATAGTAAAAGTTGTACCTTTATAACACTCTGATATGAAAAATAAAACTACCTCTCAAAATCAAAGTCTTCATGTGGTATCTTTACAAGGAAGTTGTTTTAACAAAGGATAACTTAGTACGGCGGCCGTGGCAAGGAGATAAGAAGTGTTGTTTCAGTTATTCAGATGAGTCTATACAACATTTACTCTTTGACTGCCATTTTGCTAAGTTTTTTTTTGGAGAATTGTCCATGCTTCCTTTAATTTACCACCTCCAACTAGTATACATGATTTGTTCACATGTTAGGTGGAAGGGTTAAATAGGAAACTAAATGTGGGAGCTAGTGTGATCTGTTGGGCATTATGGCTAACTAGGAATAATATAGTGTTTGAAGGTCCTAGTACCATCTTTTTTGCATGCTATCTTTAAGGGGACTTACTGGATCAGATCCTGGTCCCTTTTGCAGAAGGAGCAGGATCGTCGGACGATAAAGATAGGATGCAGGAAAATTAAAACAACTGCGATGGAGGTGTTTGCACGTCATGGTTCGGAGATTCAGTAATAGAATCGGTTTTTAGATGTAGTTTTTCGATTTGTTATGTTTCCTCATTTTGGCTCAAAACGTCGTTTTTGAGTTTACTTGCCCCGCGGGACTCTTATGTGTAATAAGAAATAGCTATATGCAATGGTTATATTCACCTTTCTAAGAAAAAAAAACCTCATCCAAGCAAGGCGAGGCGAGCTGTCGCCGATCAACCAAGAACGCCGCGCCCTTCGTTTCGGGGAAATTTGCAAAAAATAAATAAATAATACGGCACGAGTGGACGCAGCAGATCTCATGGAATCGCCCGAGGGAGCTGCCGTTCGGGCTTGGGAGGTCGGGCTCGGGCACAATGACCATTCGTCGCCGCCGCGTGCATATGCCATCCGGTCGGGTCAGGACTCAGGAGGCTGGGCGTGCCGGTGCGGCGGTGCCCTCGTCCCCGGGCCGCTTCCCGAACTCGAAACGTCGACCACCGCATATGCCATCCATCCGGTCGAGTGAGGAGGGCATGTCGGCGAGGTGCGGGAAGGGACGCGTCACCACTTGCGTTTTCCCACCGATGGCCACCGTGCGTGGCGGCGCTGTCCGCGCGCGCGAATCGGCGAATCCTTCCGAATTCCGGCCACGCCAGCTCTCTCGGCATGCGGAACATGCCCATGCCATGCCTGCCCATCCGGTCCACGCGGTGTCGTGCCGCGCCAGCCTACCGACCCAGCCACCTTCCCCCACCTGCGCGAAACCGCGTAATCCCGCGCCGCGGCACGCAGCCCCACGCCACGCATGGTGTCAGATCAGATCAGATGGTCGCCAGCCAGCCGCGATGCGCAGCGCAGCGCAGGTCGATCTCCCTTTCCTTTCTTTTCCTTGTCCAAAAAGCCACTCACCAGCCGCGTTCACACCTAGCGCTGCCTCATCACATCAGACCATCCAAAGGGTCAGGTATTTATATCGCCCCCTTTCACACCGGTCTCCCCGTATCGCCTTTGCCTCGCCGCGCCAATCACACACGGCTTCCCGTTCCATTCCGCTCCCCCCACGGCCGTCCGCTGCCTGCCTGCCTTTGACGCGCACCCACCACCAGCACGGGAGACCGATCGACCCGGCCGACGCCTCAGCCTCGGCCCGCAGCGCAGCTCTGCCTCTGCCTCTGCCTCTGCTTGCGTTGCGTGTGTAGTGGCCGCAAGATAGGGAGGAGACGTGTATGTATATGAGATCCCCATCCAACGGCCGGCCTCCAAGCGGTGGGGGTGGAGCTGGAGCAGCAGCTGGTTCAGCAGGAGACGACGACTTCGCCTTCTACTTCTCTTTCCTCCAGGACACCGCCGCCGCCTCAGTGACGTCGCCGCTCGCCTTCGCCCTCGACGACCCCAACGCCAACGCCGCAGGGATGACCAACGGCCGGCGCCGGAAGCAGCGCGGAGCAGCAGACGGCGGCGGAGCGGCTGGGGAAGATGAGGAGGAGGAGGTCAAAAAGGAGGGCAAGAAGCGGTCCATCGCCAAACTGCTGACCTCGCTGGCGGCGCTGGAGGCGGAGGAGCACGCGGACCGCGCGGGCGCCGCGGACGCGTCCAGGCGGGAGCTGGCGCTGCTGGAGTCCAACGCCGACACCAGGTCGCAGGCCATGATGGACTACTACGCCAAGATGGAGAGCAGCTTCGACGCCACCGCCGAGTCCGAGGCCGCCGCCAGGTCCAAGCGCTCCAGGCTCGCCGCGTCGGCCGCCGCCGCGGCCGTCGTGGCCGGGGAGGAGGCGGCGGCGTCCTCCGCGTCGGGCTCGCCGAGTCGCGCCGCCGGGCAGGGACAGGGTCAGGGCCGCCACCAGCGTCGGCTGTGGGTCAAGGACCGGTCCCACGCGTGGTGGGACCAGTGCAACAGCGCCGACTACCCGGAGGAGGAGTTCCGGCGCGCCTTCCGGATGGGGCGGGAGACGTTCGACATGATCTGCGACGCGCTGGGCTCCTCGGTGGCCAAGGAGGACACCATGCTCCGCGCCGCCATCCCCGTCCGCCAGCGCGTCGCCGTCTGCATCTGGCGCCTGGCCACGGGGGAGCCGCTCCGCCTGGTGTCCAAGCGCTTCGGCCTCGGCATCTCCACCTGCCACAAGCTGGTCCTGGAGGTGTGCGCCGCCATCAAGTCGGTGCTGATGCCGCGCTTCCTGCAGTGGCCCGACGAGTCCGCGGCGGCGCGGTTCAAGGAGACCTTCGAGCGCAGCTCGGGTGTCCCCGGCGTGATCGGCGCCATGTACACCACCCACATCCCCATCATCGCGCCCAAGATCTCGGTGGCCGCCTACTTCAACCGGCGGCACACGGAGCGGAACCAGAAGACGTCCTACTCCATCACGCTCCAGGGCGTGGTGGGGCCCGACGGCGCCTTCACGGACGTGTGCATCGGCTGGCCGGGTTCTATGCCCGACGACCAGGTCCTGGAGAAGTCGATGCTCCACCAGCGCGCCGCGGCCGGGATGATGCACGAGTCGTGGCTGGTGGGCGGCGCCAGCTACCCGCTCATGGACTGGGTGCTGGTGCCGTACACGCACCCCAACCTGACGTGGACGCAGCACGGGTTCAACGAGAAGGTGTGCGAGCTCCGGCGCGTGGCGGTGGAGGCGTTCGCGCGGCTCAAGGCCCGGTGGGCGTGCCTGCAGAAGCGCACCGAGGTGAAGCTGCAGGACCTCCCCGTGGTGCTGGGCGCCTGCTGCGTGCTCCACAACATCTGCGAGCTGCGGGGCGAGGAGGTGGACCCGGCCATCCGCTGCGAGCTGGTCGACGACGAGACCACGCCGGAGAACCCCTTGCGGTCGGAGACGGCCAAGCGCGCCAGGGACAACATCGCGCACAACCTGCTCCACCGCGGCTTCGGCGGAACCACATTCTTCTGATCGCATTCTCATCCATGATCATCGGCTTCCTTATTTACTTTGCCAGTAGCAGTAGGTACAAAAAAAAAAAGGCCCGAACAAGAAAGAAATAGGGATTCTTTTAGCCGGTAGCTTAATTACAGTAGAAGAAGATTTTGGTAGGATTATTATACTGCTGCTGTTAGCAGCTGGTGAGCGAATCACTTGATTGATCTAGACGGCAAATGACCGACACAGGACAGGACCATGTAATTAATTTAAGCGACGCTATGTAACCATCATCTCATTTGGAAAATCTGCCTCCAGATTTTCTTATGTTGCAGTATATGTATACAGTTTCTTTTTTTATCTAATTTGGAGAAGAGAAGTTGAGCGCGTGTTTAGTTGTAGGAAGTTGGGATTTTGGGCTACTGTAGCACTTTCGTTTTTATTTGGTAAATAGTGTTCAAACATGGACTAATTAGGCTCAAAACGTTCGTCTCATAATTTTCCACCAAACTGTGCAATTAGTTTTGTTTCGTCTATATTTAATGCTCTATGCACGGGCCGTAAACATTCGATGTGATAGGTACTGTAGCACTTTTTGGGATTTTGGGTTCAAAATAAACACGCGCTGAGAAAGATGATGATTTGCGTTGTGTAGTATGCTGTGTCCTGCGACTAGATTTCATTTCAGCACGAGCGCGATGGGCCAACAACCGTTGATGCGTTGATATCGGGGCAACTTGTCTGGAGTATTGCAGTGCCGTCCTTCTTTCGATAAGGACTTGAGGACAGGGTGCAGTGCGGATGCGGTTGATTCTACGCCTCATAAATTTGGGTTGCATCATACGCAAACCTATCTACTACCATGCACTTGGACACTGTTGATACGATGCGAATGCGATGCACTAGTGGTGCAGAATCTCTTGGCCCGCCCTACCTGAATCTTGGGACCCCATAGCCTGTCCAAACCTTCTTGCCACAGTCCTTCACTCACTTAATTGCGCATTGATGTTCGGTTTAGCCCAACCTGGCCGGCGCCTTTCCTCGTTGTGTACAGTCCTTGAAGCTATCTCCTCACACGGTAGCAAGGCATGGAACACGATGATGATGCTGAACGTGGTGAAAAAGAAACGGAAAACTGAAAAACGATATGACGAACTGGATGTCAATGGACATGTCTCTCGGACAAGCCACTTGCAGAGAGCATTCAATGATCGGTCCCCTGGTTGTACGGTCGTCGTGGTGATCACTAGTGATAGGGTAAAATTCGACCTTGCCTGATCGATGACCATAGAACAGAGCTTGCAGTTTTCTATCAAAAGCACCACTTCAGATATATGAAGAACACCGTGGCCATGTTTAGTTCGACCGAATCGGCGCCGACGAAGTCACTATAGCTACACTGTAGCTACAGTAGCATTTGTTTTTATTTGGTAATAATTGTCCAATCGTTGACTAATTAGGCTCAAAACGTTCGTCTCGCAAAGTACAACCAAACTGTGTAATTAGTTTTTGATTGTTAGATATTATGGGCTTGGCCCATTTATTTAATATCTCTATTAAACTCTATGATCCGTACATGTGCATTAATGATTTTTATACCATATGGGAATTTAATCGAGAGACGACTCTACTTAAATACTTGATCATTGATCGATCTATTTGAGAAGTAAAAGTGAATCACCTGGATGCCACACGCGCGCGCGCGCCGCCGCCGCCGCCGCCCGCCCTGTGCCCGTGCGCGTGGCGAGGCAGGCAGGCGGGCGGCGGCGGCGGCGGCGAGCGAGCGGACGGGCGAGTCCTCCCCTCTCGGTTAAGCTCTCTTGGCGAAGTACACCACTTTCCAGCAAGCGCAAGTCTTTCCCGCTCCACCTCCGGCGAGCACGAGAGATGGAAGAGTAGGCCTCCGGAACGCGTCTCCGTCGTGGGCTTCATCTGCTCGAGTGAAGACGAGCGATTACGTTTTTGGGGAGTGTCGGTGGTGGCACGACTACTCGCTAGTGAACCTGTAGCGGTGCGTCTTCACGGCATCCTTATCTGCACTGCATCGAGCGGGACGACTACAACAACAAAGCACCACCATGGCCTTTCCTGGTGCGAGCGGCTCCGCCGCAGGGTATAATCTCCTTCACCCTCTTCTGAGTTTCATTATCAATATCATGATGTTCCTAGGCAATACTACTTTCATATTCAGCATGCTCTGTTTGGTTGATTTGGATGATTATGCTAGTACTGTTTTTCTGGTTCCTTTTAATTTTGTGATCATCATGATCTTCATATTTGAGAACACATCTTTTATATTTATGATCATGTAACATCCCGGCCCAGGGCTTAACAGGATTAATAGGATACTCATACCAATAAGTTGCAACTTCTTTTTCGAAAGCCCATCTGCAAATAACTCCGAGGTTAAGTGTGCTTGGCCTGGAGCGATGGGTGACCGACCGGGAAGTCCTTCCCGGGTGCGCACGAGTGAGGACAAAGTGCGCAGAAAAGACCTGTGTTGATGCTGTGAGGCGATCTATATCCTAGAGAAGCCGCCGGATGTAAGCGGGCCCGGCCCGGAGAGGCGGGACGTTGAGTATCGGTATCGAGCCGACTCTCGCGGTTTCATGGGCGCGCGTGTGTCGCAGTTGCGCAGGCAAGGGTGCGCATGGTGGTGTGGATCCGGCGTGGTCACACAAAGATGTCACATGCTGGCCGGCTCGACACACCGGACGTGGCCAAGAGAGGACGCTCGGGCTTGGGATTGATCGACGAGGACGTCGATCTCTTAAGGGGGTGAGGATGTAACATCCCGGCCCAGGGCTTAACAGGATTAATAGGATACTCATACCAATAAGTTGCAACTTCTTTTCCGGAAGCCCATCTGCAAATAACTCCGAGGTTAAGTGTGCTTGGCCTGGAGCGATGGGTGACTGACCGGAAAGTCCTTCCCGGGTGCGCACGAGTGAGGACAAAGTGCGCAGAAAAGACCTGTGTTGGTCTGTGAGGGCAGTCTATATCCTAGAGAAGCTGCCAGATGTAAGCGGGCCCGGCCTCGGAGAGGCGGGACGTTACAGATCATGTCTGTGAGGCTTCAGCTGAATAAAACAATGTTTCACATATGTTTCGGTTCTATAATTTGCCTTATTATCATGTTAACACTTGTCATGAATTGTTTCTGTCATTTTATTCATGACGTCACTCTTTATTTTTATTGCGTCATTTTTATGGATTAAATTAAATATGAAAATGCCTTATTTATCAACATTCTAAAAACGTAATTTCAGGCCATTTTCATCTGTTGGCTTTGCGGGCATGCTAAAGCCTACGCCGTTTGAGGGCACTCACTACAAGAGGTGGCGTGAGAAAGCCCTTCTGTGGTTGTCGGCCATGCGCTGTGGTCATGTGCTCAATGAGCAGCCTGCTACTATGAGATCCGATGAGGATGAGCAGGCTTGGGGACATGCTGAGACCATGTGCAAGGCTGCACTGTTGAGCATCATCAGTGACTCTCTGGTTGATGCCTACATACCACTCCTGACTGGCAGAGCTGTGTGGGAGGCTCTTGAGGCCCGGTACGGTCTTTCCGACACCAGTTCTGAGCTGTACATCATGGAGCAGTTCCATGACTACAAGATGGTTGATAACCGTCCTGTAGTCGAACAGGCTCATGAGATCTGATGATTGGTGAAGGAATTGGAATTGTCTGCTGTCCTCTCTCTCGACAGAGTTCGTGGGTGGTGCATTATTGCTAAGCCGCCACCTTCATGGGTGATTTTGCTACTACCTTGAAACACAAGAGGCGTGAGTTTAGCATTGTTGAACTTGTTGGCACTCTTGATGTTGAGGACAAGGCAAGAGCAAAGGATGTCAAGGGAAAGAGCAAGGCGGGAATGGTGAGGCGACTACTAGTGCACATGTGGTGCAAAAGTTTCGTCCTAAGCCACAAAAGAGGAAGCCCCAGCAGGAGCTTAAGCAGAAATCCACTATCTCCTTCAAGAAAGGTAATAATAAGAAGATGGGATTAGACAAGGCAAAGATGAACTGCTTCACTTGTGGAAACACTGGTCACTTCTCTAGAGAGTGTCCTGAGGCTAAGTGGAAGCCCTCACCAAAGGCGAAGACAGTCAACACCATTGAGACCGATCTGAGGCGCTTCGGGTACGGTAATTTATCTACATTTCTGATTTGTTCCTCACACTGATTGGTGGGTTGATACATGTACAAATATACATGTGTGTGCTTTGATAAGTCCTTGTTTTCTTTTTACCAGTCGGGAGGTGGAGCCTTGGCGATGGGGAATGGCGCGGCTTTGGTGTTCATGGTGTTGGTACGGTGGATCTGAAGCTTACTTGGGGAAGACCGTGCAACTCAAGAACGTGCATCATGTCCCCTCAATAAGGAAAAATCTTATTAGTGGCTCTCTGCTATGTCGAGACGGTTTTAAACTTGTGTTTGAGTCGAATAAATGTGTTATGTCGAAGTATGGAACCTTTGTTGAAAAAGGCTATGAGAGCGGAGGCTTGTTCCGCTTGTCGTTGGTTGATACTTTACCTCTTGCAGTGAATAATGTCGTTAATAACGTTAATGTTGAGATGAATGTTTGGCATTCTCGATTATGTCATGTTAATTTTGGTTGCATGTCCCGCTTAGCTGGTTTGAATTTAATTCCTAAATTTGACGTTGCCAAAAGTTTCAAATGTCATACATGCGTTGAGGCAAAACAACCTCGCAAGCCTCACAAGGCAGTTGCGACGAGAGAGTTGGCACCACTTGAACTCATCCATTCCGATATTTGTGAAATGAACGGAATTTTGACAAAAGGTGGTAAGAGATACTTCATAACGTTCATAGATGATTACTTTTCGATATTGCTATGTGTACCTAATTAAAACAAAAGATGAGGCATTACATTATTTTAAAACCTTTAAAGTGAGGTTGAGAATCAACTTGAAAAGAAAATCAAACGGGCTTGGTCCGATCACGGGGAGAATATTTCTCTAATGAATTTTACGAGTTTTGCTGATGTACGGTATAATCCATGAGAGGAC